GATGTGTTTAAAGACTTGGGAGTGTTTTTTGATTCCAAGTTTAATTGTAATGCGCATATAAATTACACCATCTTAAACTCTCTCGCAATGCTAGCTTTTGTTAGACGACATTCTTCGCAATTTTCTGACCCGTACACACTTAAGACTTTGTTCACTGCCTTTGTACGGTCTAAACTGGAATACGCCACGTTTATCTGGAGATCGTATCACGCTATACACATCAATCGTTTGGTGAGAGTGCAAAAAATATTCCTACGCTTCGCTCTGCACACTTTACATTTTTCTGAACCGATTCCACCTTACGAGTCGCGTTGCCAATTGATTAGTTTATTAAAATTAAACAATAGATGCTCACTACTGTCCGTGTCATTTCTTCTTGACATTGTCTTGGGTAAAGTCGACTGCTCATCCCTTCTTGGGTTGATAGATCTCACCGTGCCGAGTAGAAACCTTCGTCGCTTTGATACTTTTCGTATTGGGTTAAATAAAACAGTTTACAATGCAAATGCCCCCATTGTCAGGGCTTTGACTGCGTACAACTGTTTCTCAAAATTTTTGGATCTTGACTTGTCGGAATCAAAATCAATTATCTATACAAAATTGAAAAACTATTTATTGTGCAAAAATTTAGAATAGCCTTTATTGTATTTACTCTTGGTTCTTTTAACGCTTCAAATTGTACCAAAATTTTAACTACATAGCTTGTAATTTTTCATAATGTCTGTACCATTTACAACTTTAGAAATTAAATAAGTAAATAAATATATCTAGGACATCTGTGGCGCCTTAACAATTTTGCGTTTCTTAGTATTCATACATAAAGGATGGGGCTTTATTAAGCCATCAAAAAAATAAATTTTTAGAGGGGTATCTAAATATCTTGATTTCAGCGCCATATGTGTTTTGGGTCCTTTTTTTGCAGAAGCACTTCTTATCAAAAAGTTAATACCCGTTAATACCCGTTAATCCAGGTAGTACGATAAAGACGGATTTTTTAATATCTTGACTCCAGCGCCATCTGTCGCCATAATTTTTTGCAAAAGTATATTTTATGATGCAGAGTATCTGGCGTCGTTCGTTAAAAATATAAAACAGTAAGATTTTCAGTTTACCATAAATTAAAGGAGACATAAACTATTTTTCTGATTTAATTTAAGGCCTCCTTATGAACAGTACTTTAATTTTTTGTTGCGGGGTAGAAGCATAAATACTATTCGGACATCCCACTCGTGAGCATTCGACATATAATCACATGCCAAAGCAAGTCTCAAAAAATACTGAAGACTTTTAAATTAAAATGGAAGGCCTTCAAATATTTTGGTCGTAATTTTCTTTACTAAAAATCTTGTTTTATTATTATTATTATTTAATTTTTAAATTGATTTTCTCTGAATACATGCGCGTTTTTTTTTTGCAAACTCTCATTCCTGTTTAGTTTACAACAGGTTATTACATTCAGCTGTCTGTTTGCTATGGGTCCAAGGTTAGGGTTCTCTATACATCCTCCATCTATTGGGGGTGCCACGCCCCTGGTAAACAGCTCTCTCTTTCAGTTAACCACAAACGCCACGCCCTCTTGTACAAACTCATTTGTATACATTTACCACATCTTCTCATCAAATTTCAAAGTCATGTGAGTTAGGGGTCCGAAGATATAGCAAATTTCACGATTGTAGAAAGTGCCGTGGGCCCTTATACCAACTCACTAATGTCTACATCGCTATAAGCGCCTACTTTAGTTATGTCTTCACACTAACTTCCAATTCATGCGACTTATCATTCCTAAGTTATTTCTGAATAAAATTTTACACCTGTAAGATGTTCCACGCCCCTTTTACAAACTTATTTACATATATATATGGATACTTTACTGCAAACATCTATCATAGATCTGTCTTCACACCAAATTTCAAAGTCATGTGAATTACCGTACCGAAGTTATTGCTGATTTGAAAATTCTCGCCTATGGGATGTTCTACGCCCCTTGTACAAACTCATTCATATATGCCGTACTATAAGCGCCTACCATGGGTATGTCTTCATACCACATTTCAAATTCATGTGACGTATGATTCTGAAGTTATGGCTGAAATTTTTAAGACCTATAGGATGTACCACGCCCGTTTTACAAAAGTATATCTACTTTACAAAAGCATCTACCATAGATATGTATGTCAACACACTAAATATCAAAGTCATGTGTCTTACGGTTTCGAGGTTATATGTAGCATATGGGAGGTGACACGCCCCTTGGTTGTGTACCCTATGTTATGTCCGAGGTCACTGTCTAGATACCAGTTATAGCCCCATGAACATCCATTCAGTAGTTCCGGAGATTAGTGAGTTTAAGCATACAAACAGACGAACAATTTACAGTTTTATTATAATAGATACATAGATAATACTGCCAATTTGCCAGTTGGGAGTCATCTGTGTGCGTGTTGACTCGTCTTCCAACTACACACAGTTGAGTCATTCAGAGTCATACCAGGGGTCATGTCGGTGTACCGCACGATGTATGCCGGCTATAACATAAATATGTATTAGTTACAAGGCCATGACTCCTGGAATGACTGTATGATTCAGCTGTGTGCAGTCGAAGGCGAGTCAACACGTACAAATGACTCGCGAGTCAGACGCATCGTGTATGCCGCCTATTCAAATATAAAACTTCAATATTCAAAAAAATGTATTTTTTCTGCCAGCGTTGGGCACCAATCCTAAGCTCTCTTTGTACTTAGGAGTGCTCCCGCAAAGCAACCCATCAGAATAGTAAAAAAAATCGCTTGTCAAATTTACTCGAGCGCGGATTAAGGTATGGTGGGTTATTTTATGTGTGACGATTTGAACGTGACGCGTGGGAGCAACGTTATGACATTCTCGAGCGCGGTAGATTTATCTTCATTTTTTAATCACATCCTGAATAATTGATTGGTCTAGGACAAGAACCCATTATGGAAGCTGAAGGAATTCTTAGCATCGGCGTATTAGGTAAATGATCAAAGAACGTTCTGTTAAAAATGTAGGACCATTGTTGGATCTCTTTGGGAGAGAAACGCAACAACAAAAACATGAAAGAAAAAGTTCGGAGCTTTAACGATCAATCCGGCTTAAGAATACAATTATTATACGGCATTTAAGTATTGTGCAGACACAGATTCTTTAAATTAAATGTTACTCGCATTTGCTATCTAAAGTAATTCAAGACATGTATGTATGTATGCACGTATGCCTAAACTCCAAACAACGATATATTCTAATACCTCTAAACATTTAAGAGCACTATAATATAAAGAAACTATATTCTTTTTATCAAACACGGAATCGCAACCAGAATATCGCTATTAGAAACATGATTGGTTTGCTGTACAAATAAACAAATTAATTTTACAGCCTTAAACCATCTAATTTTTTTTCTTATACTAACACCTTTGCCCCTTTTGTTTAATTAGTAAACAGCGGTATTTATTAAACAAACAGTCTTGAGCTAAAAAGACGAATTATTATCAGTCATGTAAGTACATAATAACATGTATGTATATTAATTTCAATGTGTGCTTCTCTTTATCTGTAAGCGCATATGATTGGTCGGCACCTTTACATATGTGCACACCTACTATTGGTGCTGACAAGATTTGATAAGATAAAATATCTTATGCGCCTATAACACCTGTTAGCCACACTTACCTCTTGGAATTCTGACGGGTTTTTTTTTGGTAATAACACGGGCTTCTGGTTGGTTTCCAGTAACGCATTGTCAACTATATCGTTAAGATTGTCGGCATGAGCCATGAGTATCCCGTCTTTTGATGGAGTGTCAGATGGTGACTTAATAGGAATCCAACCTGCACTAATCGATGAATCGACGCGAAGTACCTTCACCCGACGAGCATCAAAAATTCCGTAGGGTATGTGAATAATTAACATAAATATTGCCGATACTATGCATAGGCCGATAATATTTTGCTGGCATCGAGGCAGTTGATTCCATGCCTGTGAAAAGTGGTCGAATAAAATGTTTCATTTTTGAAAGTACAAATTTATTGATTCAAGTGCAATTTAAGGCAAACATACCCGTCGCAAGCTACGCCGTTTGGGCTGCTTGGCAGTTAGACTGTCTTCTTCAGTGCCACCAACACCAGCACCTGACAATGTTACTGAAATATGATCGCTCTTCTCCATACCTCAGCCACGGTGGTGTTACAAACTGCACACAAAGTTTGCTTCCGTAGCGCTAATAGCACTTTTCTGTCCCAGATAAACCTCTGCTCTCCTTTGCTTATGCACAAAATCGATTCTTAGGCCTCAATTTATAGGAACATAGCCCCAGGCATATTGGCAGCGACTAGTTAGTCTACATAAACACCTTTTATATTTGCTAATCTGACTAACTTGTCTAAAAATGTTGGGAAACTATTTAAATAGAGTTTAATTGAAAAATAGCTAAAACCGCAACGAACGTAAATAATTTATCAAACACAAACCTTTTTGCAACCAATTTCACTGACTGTGTTTTACAATTTACTTTCTGCATTTGCTTTTCTTTGCTACAGGGTTGCAAAACACTGTACTAGAAAGTACTTAATGAAAAGGGTTTAGTGTGGAATCCTACATAAATTAGTACCTTTTTTGTTTCCAATCCAGTTGTATCGATTATTTTTAATTATAACGTGTTGTCTTTTCTTATAGATTTACGTACTTTGCTTTTTATTATATTTCTCCCAATTTCAGTAGCAACTCGTCGAATAGAAAAACCGTGCTGAAAACCCAAATTGAAATCAAGCGCTGCCAGATGCGTTATAAAATTAAATTCATATTCTTTTCAGCGTTGCCGTTTTGGTCCAATTGGACCAAAATTGGTAGCTTCATTCTCCTTTGGTAGTTTGGTTGGTTTGATGAAGCTTTTGGTAGGCAAAAATGCTTTGAAAAGTCAATCAAATTGAGCATTAAAATTTATACTTTTACTTTGCGTCTACAAGCTGAAAACATTGCTTTCAATTTGCTCACACGTATAACTTTTCTTTGTTTTTTCTAAATTTTACTAAGCACTCAATTTTCTGCAAACAAAAACTGACTTCCCAAAATATGATCGATCAGCTGTTGAAATTGAACGAAAATTTGCCTATCGTCTTGAAAGAAAAAATGGTGATAGGCAATGTGCAAAGTGTGAGTGTATGCAAATCGAAACAAAATTTGGAATTTTTTTATTGAATGTCAGATTTTGTTTTTTCAAACATAAAAACTTTTTGATATGAATTGAATTGTTCTCAAAGGTATTTAAATTTTTTAAAAAGTTTTTTACGCAATACGTTAATTCTTTTATTTAAAAGCCCGAATTTGTTTTTTAACCTTAAATATTGGTATGAGTGTTTAATAAACACCATAAACAATATTATACTGTCAAATTGTGTAGTTAAAAACCCTGTAAATGCAAAAAAATATCGTTTTAATGATGAACAAAAATTTGGTAGTTTGGAAACTGGTTCGGTAGGCGTTTTGGCACCTAAAAATAAATTCAAGTGGCAACACTGATTCTTTTTGGCATGGAGAAGCTTCCCAGCGAGAACATTATCGTGTAAATATATTTAACCGAATGCTATGCTATAGATTTCATTGACAGTTTTTATGACTTTATTAAGGCCGAGTTTACAAAACTACACGAAACTATAGTATACGTGTGATATTTTATCCCTTTCTTGCTAACATACTTAAGCGTCACGTATGTGCGTAAATGCTGGTTGCAATTTCTCTTAGCAAAATGGAGTTTCGGATATTTGTCTTATTTTATTTTAAAATTTCTAACTTCCAAATCATCAAAGACAAACGATCTCCTAATTCCCCTACTTTGCAGGTTTTTGCATATAACTAGATCCGAAACTCCTTTTCCCGCAAAAACGCTGTCAAAGAGTGCATCCTTCATAACATTTCCCAATAGAACCACTGTGACAAAAACATTTATGGGCATTTATAGAGTTGTTAGGAGTGTACTCGTACCCAAAACTATTAAAAGTTTTAGAGAACTTTCACTGGTATTGCGTTCTCGTATCCAAAAAACTTGCAAAGTAGTGGAAATTGTGAGAGCAAAACGCGATAGAGAGCCGCAAATTTCTTTTTACTAGCGAAAACTTGCAAGTAAGATAATTAGCTGATCACAAACATATGTTTGTAAATAACAAAAGAAAATATGGCATATCATCATCGTACAGTTCGATAAGAGTAAATTTATTAAGCACGACGTATATATATTGACTTTGTTTTTGGTTAATTTAATATTAATATCCAGTTTGTTTACTTTAGTGCGTGCTGACTATGGCCGTGTGACATTTTTCGTTTGTACCATCATTTTATTTTAAATATACCAAAATAGATAAAAATGCAGCATGCTCATGATGCAATAATACAAGGTGGTATCGGTTGTGACCGCTCGATTTGATACTGTCTTAGCTCCGTAGAATAAGAAGAAAAATGGTAGGAAATTTATCCCCGTTTGGGGGAAAATATAGAATTTCATATTTTCTTCGAAACAAACTTTGCTTTTGTAAATAAACAAAAGAAAATATGATCTTTTTGAATTATTTATTGCAAATTTTATTATAAATGCTAGTATGCAACGAAAAAGTTATTAAGCATTAATCTCCAGTTTGTTTATTTTAGTGTGTGGTGACTATGGTTGCCGTATTTCATTTTTCGTTTGTACCATAATTGTCCTTCAAATATACCAAAATAGATAAAAATGCAGCATGCTGAAATGTTTTTTGCTGAAGCTGTCAGTTTTGGTGGCTTGATTGTTGAAATTAAAATTTTATAATTTTAAAGGTACATTTGTAGCTGTATCTATTTAATGTTTTTTAGATCACTGATGGGTGTTTGGAGGAGACTCTCTTACTTTTGAATGCGTCATCATGTGGTAAATAACACAAATAATTTAATTAAAGGTTTTTCTTATCAAACAGTATTCAATTGTATAAATTGCAAAATTGGAGAAAATGTACCAAACAGAAAGTAAATTGCCAAATGAATCACCACAGTCGCCACGTGGAAGTGATCAGCTGTTTTGAAGGTTCCAATTTTTTGCAAATTTTGCATTCTCGTACTTCTGTGGATATTTTGTGTCTTTGAGGGCAAATGCTGCTAAATTCTCAGAATTTTTGCTGCTGCATAGTTTCGTCCGCTCAATACGAGGTGTGTAATTTATGGAGAAACATCTGACTTAACGATACGTTCCGCTGACTACAAATATTTATACAACTCAACAGCTGATAGTTTAAACTCGATTTAACCCAGCCAGATTACTTTCACTAAGGGCCAGTTTTTCAGTGCCAGTTTAAACTTAGTTTAAGTAAATTGAGTTTAAATTGAACAGCTGGTTGACATTTGATTGGCTGATCTTAGTTTAAACCAGCCAGATCGGGCGTTTAAACTGTTTAAACCACGGCCGTGTACTGAAAAACTGACACTAAGTTATCCTAAAATTTAATGGCTATAAAACTGCGTAATTAAAATACCAATTAATTTGAAAAGTTGAAAATTTAAAACATGAAAATTGCAAAATTTTTGGAAATGCATCATCAAAAAATTTTTTTCGGAAACGGAAGACAAAAAAAAACATAATCATCCAGTGACACCCTGAGCATGCGTTTCCTCCGAAGCTACGTCAAAAACCTCTTTTTTTCACGCCATCTGTGGGTCATTAGTGCTAAAATTGGAAGAATACATTCACTACCAGTGTTCGGAGTGGCCTCCGATAAATAAGGTATACTCGGGGTTTTGAAAATTTTTAAATCTAGTCCTCCGCTCTGCCAGACTTCTTCTACTTCGTTTTTTTTTACCTACAAAAAAAAAACAACTCAAAACCAAGCTGAAAGTCTGGTAAAAACTTGTGTTTTTCCGCCATCTGTGGGTCATTATCGTTAAAATTGAAAACAATTTTCCCTACCAGTGTTCGGACTACCACTCCAATATGAATAGATTTACTCAGGTTTAAAAAAAAATTATAAATCGTCCCTCTCCTCCGCTTGAATTCAAATCTATTCTGTTCTTTCACTCATGTTCCACCCCTCTTGGGCCACTTTTTGAGTGTTCACACCCGAGTTTCAGTAAAATATTGAAAGTTAAGCAAAATTTCACTGATAAAAAGAAACTCTTTCATAAAAATAAAAATGAGTCAATAAAGTACCTTTTTGATACATGAATATAGAACTTGGCGGATGAAGAATTTCTCTTAAGTTGTTAAGTTTCATGGCCATCTGCCTATAATTTTTATAATTTTTTACTTATATACGGCTAACACCACCTTGTTAAATACACCTTATTTGTAAAAAAAAATTTGCCATTGTGTAGCTTTTATGCCGTGCTTTGGTTGACAAAAAATTAGGTGCGCTTGCAATACTGACGTGGAGAAAATCGATGAAAAGAAGGGCATAACGAATGCGACAAAAACAGAAGTGATTTCAGAGTACATGAAAAATAAGCAAAACTCAGCGAATCCTGTACGGTTTTGCTTTATTAAACATTCTTTAAATAAAGTCAAATTATGAACCATAACAATCAATTCATTTTTAATCAGAAGCAATTCGTTCTTAATTTAATTTTGAATTAAAATCTGGTAACGGACGTGACAGATTTTTCCCCCCTACAATATTTTTACTAGTAACACATACTAAATTTAATTTTTTATTTCACTTTTTCAGATCTTCTCTCTACCGCCTCGCGTTTTGAAATCCTTTTTTGGCCATCTGAATACGAAATTTCAAGTTATACAGCCGTTTGAATTCATTTATTTTTGCATTTTCGGTTTACCTTTTTTGGGAAATGACCATATGGGGTATTATATCTGAACGTTGGACAAATTTGGTGAAAATAAAATTATTGAACAGGAAGACTGACGCTTCATATGACCCTGACGGTCAAATGAACCCCACATGATATGAATATGTGAGCTGATTGTAGAATTTTCCGCTCTTTCTGAATTCGAGATAAAAAAGGAGGGTTACCACTTAAAAAAAAATCAACATGTTGACCTCGAGGTGACCTTGAAATTGACCCTCACGTTATTTTGTCACTCGGCATTGGAAAGTTTGTTTTATTGAATGAATTTTCAATATTTATAAAAGAGTTTCAAGTTAAAAGAAAAGTGGGCAGGAGGGGGTTACATTCAGAAAAAATACCACATATATATATACTTTTTAACAATAAAATCAAAAAATTAAATTAGAAAAAGAAAGAAACTAAATCAAAAAAGAATAAAATATTACTCAAAAGAAAATAATAGAAATACATACATACATATATATTTTTTGTTTTTTATTTTGTGTATTTATATGAAAAGTAATAAATATTTTAATACATACATGTTCCTTGAATATCTGGTGGATACTATTTTAGTTTTAAAATATGAGCATTGCCTTAAGTAAATATTATGACCATATATTTGCGTTTTCATGGGATTATTTTATACATACTTAGGTATTATTTCGGCATATTTATAAATTCTACACTGGCAAAAATAGTTATATTTTCCAATACCTTCATGTACACACAGTGGCGGGACGCGACATTTTAACAAGCTTTGCCTTTATTATTTTGTTTATTTAATGATTTTTTTATAAAAGTATGGCTCACTGTCTAACAAAAGCCATGCATATATGAAATTTTCCTATAATTATCTATAGAAAAAGTTATATTTTCCATTCGTACAAAAACCAGAATACGCCTCATCATTTCTCCAAGGTGTTTTTTTTTGTTATCCTACCTTTTCTACTTTTGTATTTAATAATGAGGTGTCATTTGAAGAGGAAGAGGTCCCTCCAGTGATTATTACTTAGATAATATTAATGGACATCTCAACTAGAGATGGGCACGGAACTAAATATTTAGTCCCGATCCCGCCCATCCTGAAATTAAATTTTTAAGTCCCGAACCCGCCCATCCCGACGTTTTTCCTAATTGTTCCGTGGATCCGTGGGTCCCGAGATCTGGCATCTTCCGATTATTTTGTTTTGCTTTGCCGTTCGTTTTCGTCCCAAAAAAAAATTTTTAAAAAAGTGCATAATTCACACATCGTTTTTAAGGAAGATTTCCCGAATTTACTGAGGTTGCGGTTTTATCGGGAGTGTCGGGAAAGGATTTTGGTCCCGTCCCGCCCGGAAAATTTCCCAGACCTTCCCGATACCGCCCATCGCGGCCAATTTAAAATCAGTACCGTCGATCTCGCGGGTCCCGATATCCCGCGCCCATCTCTAGTCTCAACTAATTAAATTTGTAATTTTTTTTAGCGCAACTTCTTAACCTTGTTCGGAGATATTTGCGTTAAATATCTAACCCCACGTCATCAGATCTGCATCAATCGTTCAATATAAAGGTATTTATAAAGTTAATGATAAAGAAGAAGTTATAAAAGTAAAGGCAAAGGGGAACATACAGATAAAATAAAGAAAAATATCAAAATATAGACGAAGATGTAGATTAAAATGGTGAAGTTAACATCTTCATAAAGATGAAGACAAAGTTGACGATGAAGTTAAGATTAAGTTGAAGACTAGGACTAATTTACTTTCTCCGAACGTAAGCAATTACACTAAAAGTATTTTGTACTGAAGCACCATTGTGACTGGAGCATTGCATTTGACAGAGCTGGGCACAACAATAAGAGAGAAAAAATAAGTAGAAAGTAAGTAGTATTGTGCTTAGTCTTAGAACCGTAAATTTATTTGTGATAGATACGTCTGAAAAAATTAGCTTGTATATTCAAAGAAAAAAACAGGCGTAAAGTTTATGTTTATCAAGCCTTCTATATATTTATGAAAAAAAAAATCAATATTTCATCATAATCATGTTACACGTGTTAAGAAAACATTAACAAAATCACCGTTAGGAATAATCTCAAGTTTCTTATATAATGTATAACGATATAACACGTATAATTTGCGGTAGTCCATAATATTAAAACAGTAAAACATTATATAACAAAACATTGGAAAATTTGGTATGATATGGTAGTTGCGGTAGAAATCAAATTCATTAGAATAATAGGAAAACAGTTCCCTAAAAAAGTAGCTTTTGCTATAACAATTAATAAGGCCCATGACCAGACTCTTGACAAAGCTGCATTAACTTAACCCTGTGTATTTACATAAACACTACACTTTCTAAAGTAAGACACTAATAGCGTTTTCTTTTCTCAAAAAAAGTTCTGCCCTTTTATATGGGAACTCTTGCTTTGCGTTGCCCTGAAACCTGAGAAAATGTTGCGTTTTTTATATGAGAATGAAACAGAAAATATACTACTCCATCACAATTTATTTATAGAACTTAATAAAGCTGAATTATTCACTTGGCCTGTAAGTCTTTAACAATTTTAAAGCAAAACACTTATTTCTGATAGGGAAAATAATTGCATTTTTACAAGATTAAATTAAAAATCGACCATGCAACTCTCACCCTCACGTTTATTTGAGGGCAGAAAAGGCAGCACTTTCGCCGGATCAGAGCGCAACCTGCTGAGAAAAGAACACTACGCCTTGTGAAAGGGCTGAGAAGAGAACATGAAAATGTGACAGCGCCAACACAAGGCAGAATAAGTACAGCCTTTTTCGAGAAAAGAAAACGCTATAAATAACACCATCTATCCCTCAACTCATGACACTCATACATATAAATTTTAGTTTTTAATAAGTTTTTATGTACCTAATAAATATAAGTTCGGATGTACTATAAATCTCATTCATGCTTAGTAGTGTTTAAGTAAAAACAGTTTTTAAGAATAATACAATTTGTTATTTAAACGAATTATTACATACTGTTATTTTTTTGTATACACAGTTTGAAAAATCTGATTTTATCTGTTATTATAAAGAGGGCCGAGATTACTGTCATTTTCAGACTGCGCAGTTTGCCGTTTGAAGTTCGTCGAAGGTTTAATAAATCTTTTACAAAGTTTGAAATTTTGCCTTATATGGTTTCTGTTAGATAGTGAGCTATACTTTTCTAAAAATATAACAAAACATAATAAACAAAAGAAAAATAGCCAAAACTGGTTATAATGTCGTGTTCCTATTTGTTTACCCGCCACCGTACATATACGGCGTTTCTAAATATTCTCAGGGTAATTCTCGTTCTGCGTTATTATTTCGGTGTGAATTTTTGACTTTTCACTTCACTTCACGATAACGCAGAATGGGAATTGACCCCCTAATCAATGTTAGGATAAATACATTCATACATAGATATTAAGGCATTTTACATAAACACAAGTAGATTATATTTCGCACACCCACTTCAAAGGTGACACAACTCAAAATTTGTCATTTGTGAAATTATGCGCTACAAAAGTTCAAAGACCGTTTATATAGCTTTCAGCAAAAGGTGGGGCAAAATTTTGTTGTAATTAAAACTATATCTAGCAAATTTATAAGTCTCTCTTGCCCATATGGCTAATAATGCTATGAAATCATTTTTTGCGTTTTCTAGCAAACGGGTAATTTTTAGTTGTGACACCTTTGAAGTGAATTTGCGATATATTGCTATGTACACATATAGTTTACATTTAATACACATTTAATACAATGTTGTATGTACACATTTTCGTTTGCAAAGTTATGCCCCTACATACTACATAGTACATACAATACGTATTAATAAAAATTTGTGAGAGCACCATTTAATATACATTATCATTTTTTCGCCTCATAGCATTGGTCGCAAACCCGTACCGGCTTCCCCGATTGCCCAAGATCCGTGAGTAGCGGCAATGTGTGCTCCGAGCATGAATTGCAAAAAATGTCACCACAACTGCGACAGTGATGTTTCCGTCGCGTCAAGCCAAATTCTTTTTTGCATGAAGTGCAATGTGTGGCTATCGAATCCGGCGCCCATATCCCAGCGCTAGCCACTTCTGATGGCGACTGTAGCGATAGGTCTGAGGAGCGTAGCTGTTGTTGTCTTCTTTCGCGGTCTTCGAGTTCAGATACCTTTAATTTGCTGACACTTAACTGTATGCCTAATTCTTCGAGTGTTGTTTGTGCCTCCGACCATTGTGTGCGCATTTTATCAAGTTCAGCACGCAGTTTAGTATGTTGCTGCGAGTCGTCGGTGAGCTCCTTAATACAAGTTTGCAGATTACTAATTTTTTCCTTCAATTTTACTTCCTTTTCTTGTAAGGAAATTCGCCATTCGCGTTCTATGCGAGATTCGGCTTCGGCACGAGCGGCGCGCTCATCACACGCAGTCACCTGAGTTGCCAAGGTTTGTGAGGTGTTTCGTAGTACTTCACCCAAATTAGTTTTATCGGCATCCCATCTGTTTGTGAATGTTGAAGAATGATATTGAATTAAGAAAAAGAAAGAAAAAAAGTTTAAGTAGTGGAGATTTAATTCTTATGTTATAATCTACTATAATGATTGTTCATTAATTATCGAAAGTGTGAAACTATGAGACCTTCATCAAAAATACACAGTCAAAACTTAAACTTTTAACTTCGTTCCTACGTACATTATTACGCACTTTATAAGGCCAAATTGAAAATCGAAGGCATCCCTTCCGTTTTCATTTATATTGCTTTCAAACCAATCCCGTTACCGTTTATGATATGTAGTTATAAAACATATTGATACCCTCGTTGTTGTGCAATTATTTTCGTTTTATAACTACATATCGAGTAAAGCCCTCTCGTCGAAACTGGCGCAGTCGGCAACTTTAGATCTACACCTGAGAAACAAACAAAACACTTTTTATATAAAGCATAACAGAGCAAGACTACCCAATACGATTTTTTTCTTGTGTGTGCATTATGGCTGAAATAAGCACTTTTTGCAGCCAAAAGTCCCATTTTCAGTTTTTGCGTTTAAAATTTTTAACAGTCGAACTGTATTATAGATACTCTAACTAGAAAAGAAATTATAAATTTGTTATGGCAAGGTAACCCTGGTCCCCTATCTGTCGACGTAAAGTGCAACGCGGACAATGGAAAAAAATACTACTGGTATGTACTAGAGATGGGCACGGGACTATATATTTGGTCACGATCCCGCCCTTAGCGAAATTCAATTTTTAGGACCCGAACCCGCCCATCCCGACGTTTTTCATAATTGTACCGTGGGTCCCGTGGGTCCCGTAATCTATCACTAGGAAAAATTCACATGCCTTTCAAATTAATTTTAAATAACAAAAAATAATAATGAAAGATCTGGCATCTTCCGATTATTTTGTTTTGCTTTGCTGTTCGTTTTCGTCCCAATAAAACATAAAAAAGTGCATATTTCACACATCGTTTTTAAGGAAGGTTTTCCAAATCTTCTGAGGTTGCGGTTTTATCGGGAGTGTCGGGAAAGTATTTTGGCCCCGTCCCGCCCGCAAAATTTCACAGACCTTTCCGATAACGCCCATCCCGGCCAATTTGAAATCAGTACCAGGGGTCCCGCGGGTCCCGATATCCCTCGCCCATCTCTAATATGCGCTATTGACTGTACCAATTGTGTTTTTGAAAAATTCACTTTCAAAGTGCATATTATGATTATACAAACTTAATCATATTGTGCTTGTTTCGTGGAGTGTGGAGACTTTTTGCCCGATCTCGTCCGATATGATATAGGTATATATACATATGATAAAAGGGCATTATATTTACTTTCATTTGGTGTATGAATTGTCTGCTGCAGCTGTGTATAAGCTTAATATTTTAAAAGGTCATCAAAGTCAAAACTGAACAAATATTCAACGTGTGGATGGATCGTAAGTCCATTTTTTTTTTAAATGTGACGTACATACTTTTACCACAGATTCGGATTCTTCGGACAAAAATACATAAATTTTGTCAGAAACGTTTCTCTGAAATGACTTCCGGTTAAAATAATGGACTTCCGGTTTGTTTAAACCACTTTCACTCGAAACCGGAAGTCGGTAATAAAAAGATAGAGCATCCCTGACTTGGTATTCATATTTTTCCATTTCCCAAAAAAAAAAATTCTTTCCTCCATTTTAGGAGGGGTGGATGGGTGGTCTGGTACACCCGATATATGGGCGGTGAGTGTGGTTGTGGGCCGATTTCGTTGATTTTCAAATCAACGGCTTTTAAGGTTCTCAGAAGCATGTGTATACGATTTTAAGTGCCTATCTGCATTTATTGATTCTTGACCGCAGAAAATGCTTATTTCAGCCGTAGTAGTGCGGAAGAAATCCACGTACGTGCGAAAAATAGTCACGTTGTTCAAATTTAGTTATTTTTTTAAAAGTGTTTTTGAAAAGCTAAAAGTAATGTACCCTGTCAACCCAGCTCCATATATTCCAAGAATAGCGGCCGCTGTAGTGTAGTGGTTAGCACTGCGCGCTACCATTCCGCAGGGTCTGAGTTCGAACCCAGTTTTCGATTAACATCAAAAAATAAAACATGAAAAAAAATTTTTATAACAGCGATCTCTCGGCAGGCAAAGGCAAACAGTTTCACATAAAAATACAATTGTCGTTCGGAATCAGCGTAAAACTGTAGGTCCCTCCCCTTTGTGTGACAACATCAAGGCGCACGCCACAAATCAGAGCAGGAACTTGGGCTGACTTTGTTGCGTAACTACCTAATAAATAAGTGTAACATGGCCAATGTTTTTCTTTTTATTTATAATTTTGGTATTGACTTGATAATGATGCTCATTTAATTTTAGCAATAAATAATAGTGATATTCACCAAAGTGACCAAGTGGCCTGGCAGTCTAGCAAACGAACAGATCAGCTCAAGCAATGACCGTTGTCAACAGTCGCAACACACAAAACTGATCTTAGAAACTGATACAAGCCCAATAAATATGGGGCTTGGTTAACAATTGGAAAATGACTGGAAATGTAGAATAGGTTAGTATTCGATTCGAGAACTACAGCCCATTGTCGAATTGAAATATTTAATGGGAGAGAGTGAAAGTTGGAAAACTAAGGTGGGTTATGAACTCGTTCTCAGTTCGATATGCATATTGTATATCGAAGGTCCTTTTCAAACGTTCGCCACAATGTTTATTGGGAGTCTACACCAGACTATGAGGGGTTTATCAAGGAGAATAGTTTTGTTAAAATTTTGTATGCGAGAACTACTATTGAACTGTGATAAATGCATTAACATTTTTGTATCTAAGATTAATGAAGTTGTAGAAACCACCTAATATGTCTTGAAATTGGCTTGTATGGTATAAAAAAAAAACAATGATTCAGAACATGGTACTTTAGATGAATTTATGCATATTTTAAGTAAATAAACAATAGGGTATTTTTGCACTAAAGTAAAATAAATATTATTTGCGATATGTACTAAATATGAATATGAGCATAATACGAAGATTTGCCGGTCAAAATTTTTAATATAGGAATATTTTTTACCTAGGCTCGAATCCTAACATCCGCTCACGGATCGAAAACCATACGAAAGAAAACTATGGGATAGAGAGTACGTTCACGTACTATAATCAGAAAAATTTGTTTTTTACATGACGAGTAATACGATATCGTATGTGCCGAGTCAAGCCCTAGTTAGAAATTTTAAGGATAGTCGAATTATATTTTTTATTCCTTCGATAAACGGTCCCAGTTTTAGCACAAACATTTGTTTATGAAGAGAGAATAGCAATGTAAAGAAAAAATGGATGACAAAGGGCTTTTGTTTAACATTAGCAGTGCCAGGGTAGCCAACTCATTTTTGAGATTAAAAAAATGTTATGCTATTTTTGTCTTTCTTTTTATTTTATTTTTAAACGTAATTCATCTTTGATAAACCAAACTTTTATAAAGTTAGTTAACAAGTAAAGAATAAAAGATATTTATGAAATATTTACATATATTCCATAATTTGAGTAATTTTTTATAAAAATATTTACATACATGCAGTGGTCGAAAAAATTTAATTCGCACCAATTATTATTATATTTTTTGTTGTTTAATTTGAGTTATTTTTTTATAAAAATATATGTTGTTCATTCTTTAACAAAAACCGTACAAATTCAAGTTTTAAACTTTGTGCAATATTTAAAAAAAATTTAACAAACTTTCGTAAAAATTTCGAGTTTTTTAATTTGACTTTCTAGAAGGATTGACAGCCAGTTTCACCAAATTATTTAAGTGACAATTACTTTAATTTTCGAATTTTTGGTTTCACCAATAAATTTTAATTTTGATTTAAGTGGCCTATGCTCTTCACTTAAATAAAAATTAAATCAGAATAACCACACTCAGAGGTGTTACACGTTTAATCACCTGCTCATTGTGTATCTCCTGCTTACTTGTATACCAGCCCTGCTTTTACAACACAGCGTGCCAAAGCTTTCAAAAGCTCTCAGTACAAACGAAAACTTTCTTTCGCTGGCCTAGTCTGTTTTACAACCACTTTTTACTCAAATAAATAGTTTATTGAAACTGAAAATTATTTAAATGAGAATTAAATACAAAATTAACTTAAAGTAAATTTCCACTTAAATAATTTGGTGAAACTGGCTGTGAGTATGTAGTTTTGTAAGCCCACTCAATTCAAGAATAATAAAGTGCAAGTTTCAAATGGCTAAAAATTTTCGTTTAAGGATTTTTTTTGTGAAGTTTTTGCAGTTTTCTTCCATATTGAAATAAATTATGTTTACTTGTTATATGAAAGCAAATGCGACAACGGAAATCAACGGAAATTTTTAGCCATTTGAAACTTTATTACACTAGAATTGAGTGAGCTGAAATTTCCCACAAAAAAACGGTCCATTCCCCGATTCCCCACGCAAACTAAAATTCCCCGCAAAACGGGGAATTTTCCACGTGTTGGCTTCCCTGACCACTGCCCAAATTTTATGAACAAAACTTGTCAAAAACCTAGAATGAAGAACAAATGAGTATGCAGATGTACTCCTGCATTCATTGCAGATGACATACTGAAACACTAGCATATTCGTTTTTCAAGTTCGAAGAAATTTCAAACCTTCTGACGCGACCTATCATTGAACTTCCAAATAGTGTAACGTGGCCAAGGGCATTCGAATGCCCATAACTCTGATACCAAAGAAATTATTAAACCCTTATTTTACAGAAATAAAGATTTGAGTATGCCTAATCATGTCACCTAAAAAAACCCAGGTGCATACATCTCGAATTCATTATTATGGTACGTGTTATACCCTTAAGTATATGTATGAACATATTTAAACTGGACAAAGAAATAAAAATCTAAAAATACTTTACGAACTGTTAAATTGGAAATTTTTGATGTTTGAATTGAACATGAAAATTTTTATTTCAACCCAACGTTTTCACATTCTATGGGCTTTATGCTTTCGATTGGTTTATGTATC